ACCGTTTAACGCTGCGAGCGCAAGGTCAGGGGGGTGTTTTTGCTTCGCTCTGCAGTTATATTCTAGCGTTTCGCGTGGCTTTTCCGCTCGACACGCAAACTCTCGCGTAAATATGATCGTTTAGGTAGCGTGGTTTATGTTGATCTAACGTTTTTCTCTGTTTTGGGAAGATCCTGCTGTTGCGGAGAGTTTTTTCTTTCCAAAATTTCGAACTGCCTTTCAGGTAACTTACAGGCATTGTTAAAGCAGCGGGTTATACCTAGTGTTGCCGTTGCTGTGAGGCCAGTCTCTGTCTGAAACTGCTAAAATTGGTTATGGAAACCATTTTGGGGCACATTCTGCCAGCTGCTAGGCTTCAGTGTTCTATAGCTGAGCAAATCTTTGAATGTTTCTGAACGTGGCTTCTGGGTTTGTTTCCCGTGACAGCTTGCCAGAACTTTTTAGAATTAGAAGGTATTTGTTTAGATTTTTTTAGTGTGCTGGTTTGTATTTCTTAATGGATGCGCGTGGGTTTTTTGCCTTGACCAAAAGACGGTAGACAGATAAGCAAGGGGTGGTTTGTTAACCCTTCTACCATGTAGATAGGGCTACACAGAGATGTGTAATAGGTTGTCAGCTGGAGTAATTTGTTTAAAAAGATTGTTAGTGATTTGTATAGCATCCTTTTTATGGGGTTATTTTATCTGTCAGTAGCACAGCTTTTTTTACTCCTTTTTCTAGATGGCATCTGCTGAAATTAGTACTCCTGTGTCTGTGAGGATGACCAGAAGAAGAACTAAATCAATTCATAAGCCAGAGGTAATTCAGGAATCTCATTATGAAGAGTTGGAACATGCAGAAACAAAGTCAGATGTCAGTGATAGCTTAGAGATGCAAATTGCTAGAAAGGAGAGCACAACTGTTCATCCAGCACAATCAGTTGCTGAACTACAAGCTGATGGGGATGTGTCAGAAACAGAATCAAACTGCTCTGCTGTGTCTGGTGTTCAGACACCTTTGTTTGTGAGAGTGACAAGAAGACGACAAATTGTAGTTCCTTATCAACCAGATTGTCCTGACAAAAAAAGACAGGATAAGACAGCTTTTGCAAAGAAGTTAAGCAGGATTCTGGATGAAGAGGATGTCTCTGAAGCTGAGTCTTGTTCCTCTGCTGTTTCGGGTGTCCAGATGCCTAGTGTTACCAGAACAACAAGAAGCAGACAAAGCAAAAAGAAATTGAAGCCAGATGCAGCTCGTGAAGTCCAGAGTGAAGATATTTCTGATGCAGAGTCATGCTGCTTGAGTTCTGGTATGGAGCTGTGCATCACTCCCAAACGAGTTACTAGGAGCATGCAAATGAAATCACAAGCAGAAAATATTAAGCAGACTGAGAAAGGAAGGAGATTTGTTTTAGAAGGTGACAATTTAATTGAGGACACCGTTAAATCTCAGCCAGTAATAATTTCTGATTCTAGACCTGCTGCAGAACTTGTCCCTGACACAGAAGATGCTTCCTCTGTCACTGAGGATAACAGAGAACCCAGTTCACCTAAAAGCAAATATTCTTCCGAATCTGCCAATGCAACCCGGAGCAAAGACGTGAAAGAAGAGGTTTTGAATGACGTGACACCCGTCAGCCTTACAAAAATGAAACAAAGTGACGCTGAATCGCCTGGAAAAAAAGCAATACAAAATACACAGTCTGTTGGGGTAGATGGTTCAGAGGAAGCACGTGGCCAAACTTCTTCGACTGACTGCGTGAGTCCCAAACAATGTTTAGAATCCCAAGGGCAAATATCACCAAAGGAAAGTAAAAGAACTCCAGAATGCCAGAGAGCAGATGCTGAGACAGATGCACAGCAGTCTTTCACCCGTGCTGATGCATTAAGAAAGGGTGAGCAAGCGAGTGCAGCGAGCAGCCCGCAGAAAGACGTAGCTGTTGCACAAGGAACTGATAGCGTTGGTAGGTGCAGGGTGCTTGAAATCACTGTGGGCAGTGGTGAAGACCAGGCAGGAGAATATGCTGAATCTGTATCCCACAGCAGTGAAAGATCAAGCACTGGAAACAATTCCCTTTCATTGTTTCTGAGCCAAGACGAAGGGGATGAATCTGAAAACGGTGATGTGGCAGACATAGATATAGCTGAAGAGAGTCTGCGCTATAAAGAGGCGGATGAGAAGACCCCTTCCCTCAACAAATCGTTAAAAAACAGTTCACTGCATGCTGAAGGGCTTTTTGTGATTGATACTGAGCCTGGCATGAGTTCCAGCCAAAAGTATTATCTAGATCAGGTAGATCAAGATCAAGATAGTGATGCTGAAAGTAAGCATGAAGGAAGTGAAAAAGGTGAAGAATCCTCTGATCTGGAAGAGGCTGGAGAGGAATTGATAGATGAAGATGAGAAAGGTGAAGATGATGATTTGTTGAAAACTAAGATTGACGTGTAAGTATATTTCTGGGAATAAGTAAAGAACCAGCATTTCATTCAAGCATATGCATAGGAAATGTACATTAAGTGCTAAATGCTGTGGAATAACGGAGGGAGTAGGCTCATCACATAAGTTGTATTGACGTGGAAAGTGGGGTTGCACAGAGTATAAAATACAAATATAGCCCATAAATTGAAGGTTTGGGGGTTTTTTTAGTCTTTGATATAGCAGAACAGAACTCTGTGAAATACCTAGAGTCCTTGTATGTGTTCAGCTTAAAAAACAAAATATGAAACTGGGTTAAAACTGGTCAGGCTGACTTAATTGCTGGTTCAGGTCACAGTTTTCTTAGTTGTTGATTTTTTCAGTTTGGATATAAATAACAAGAAGTCCAGTAGATTCCTTACACGTTGCCTAATTAGATCATGCTTTTTAGTTGCATGTACTTTTGTGTTTTCAGTTCTTGTGCTGTGGGACAGTGACAATTCAAGTGAAATCGGCCCTGCGTAGAATCACAGAATAATTTAGGTTGGATGGGACCTCTTGAGCTCTTGTAGTCCAGCTCCTGTTAAAATCCCTCACGTGTTTAAAGCATAATACTCTTGTTTAGCTTGGATACATAAGTCATAATCTTCTAAAAACCTTCAGGCAGGCCAGAAGTCTTACAAAAACTAAGCCAAGGATTCATAGAATCACAGAATGTGAGGGGTTGGAA